TAAAACTGTTTTCCAAAGTAAATGTTAGAGGTCTCAACACAGGTTTCTGAGCTGTACGCCACTTTTTTTTTTTGCTTGCTAGACTTTGTTGTCACTGCGAAAATGAAATACTCAAATGGAGCAAAGAATTATCAAATCCATTAAAAAACCCTCAGCTTGATACACACTGAAGGGTGGGGTAAGCTAAGTGGCTGGTAACTAATGGGATACTTGCTTAGAAGACTGCTTTTTTTTTTTAACACAAATTAAGCACTGAAGGATTCAAAACCGGGAAAAAACACAGGAATGCTGAAACCACCTGTAAAGTATGTATATGTTTAAACTGTATAACCTGGAGAACCAAAACCAAGAACAAAGTGATAAAGAGTTCTGTTTGTCACTTGAGAAAGTAATAAGTGTTTTTCAGTGAAACATGTTTGGTTTTTATCTGGAAAGAGATGCTCATAGTCTATTCCAAGATGTGCTTTCCCCAGCCTCTTTTCCCTACCTTCTTTGTCAATACATTTAAACAAGATGCTGCCACTGATTCCCTCCCTGGAACAGTTTTGTAGAAGCCCAGAAGTACCCTAACATCAATTCCTGCTGACTTTTCGCTGTTATAAGCTCAAATGGTAGCAGAATATTTACAACATTAAGTGATGGCTGTCCCCAGAAGATGAGTCTGGTTAGCACGATGCTCAGAAATCACTTGCAACGGTTAGGAGTGCCGTGACTTAGCCATACTAGCAACATCACGATTAGCTACATATAATTTTGAGAGGAACAGAATTGTCAACTGTAGTTGGACAATAGTAAGATTAATGTGGCTTTAACAGTTTAGCAAAACTATCACCGAGGAGACAGTCACTAACATTTGCAGCTCTGTACATTTAGAGAAAGGAGGAAGAGACTGTTGTACTACAATAGGTTTGGACCCAGCAGCAGACTGCTGAAACTCCAGACTTGCCAATGCTTCAGCAGTCAGTCACAACCCACTTCCAAGTAACTGTCAAATTCTTGGGCTCTTTTTCACTAAATCCTACCATTTCCTCTCTTTTAGGACACTGCTGATTTTATAAAACACAGCCTGTGGCAAAGCACTCAGGAATTTTCTCTGTAAAATAAAGTAAAATCCCAAACTCCCTAAGTAAACCCTCCTCTACTGGCCCATGACAGGATTTATTTTTTTTAAAGCGATTATTATAAATGCATTATTCTCAACACACACGTATACACTTAGATGTACACGCAGCGCAACATGAAAACACTGAGCAACTGATATGAAAAGGACAGGAATTTGGCATCCGATTTTTTTTTAAATAATAAAAAGTTATCTCAACTACTGTTATGTAACTCATTGCACGACATGCTTATGCAGCATGCTCTTTTTCCTTAAGAACAGGTACATTTATTTCCATGAAGTGGCTATATTGCCTCACCTTGCCTCATCTTCCCTCCCTTCCCCTACTGTAGGGCATGTGGGTGCATGTAGAAAGGCACTAGCGTGGTTTTTGTGGTTTGAGCCTAGCCATTTCAGGCAGAGTAAGCCCCCGACCTTTAGAGCTGGGAGACAGAAATTGGCCATCCCAACACGAAACTCTGAAGTTCAAGACTGTAAGCCCTGACAGCCAGCAGCAATAGGGTGAACAGAAGAATTTAACAGATATTTCCCTCATATAAAACAAAACAGAAAGACTGGGAGGTGGGGTGGGTGAAGAAAAGCAAGCAGCAAATCTCCAAGCGGGGAATAAAACTGACCAAATAGCTGAAAACAGGAAAGTTGATTTTAATGTACATTTTACCGGTGTTTTTCCATATTCTCTCCTTTTTCTGTATGGAAAAAGGCAGGATAATAAAACTACTTCATTATTGGCTATTCTGTCAGCACTGGTTTTCTTTAGCACTACTTAAAAGTGGTTTAAAGAAGCACCATCATGTATTTCCTGCTAGCTGTCCTAACTGAGGACTCTTTCAGTTAAACTATACTGCATTTCAATTAGGTTGACAGTTTCACTTGGCTTTTAAAAAGGTGCTTGGAAGAATATTTTTGTTTAGTTTCAATCGAGAGGGAACAAAGTGATAGATTTCCATTCACACACTTCTCTTCTCCATGCAACTGCACACATGTCTGCATGAGTAACAAAGCACTATAAATGATAAACCTTCTTCTCCCACAACTTGTTTAAGATTACAATGAATTTCTGTTGCTGATATTGAGAAGTTTTCTTAATGTACTTTAATTTATACAGTCTTTAAAATTCTTGATCCCCCGCTTGACAGTAACATTTGGAGATTTTTTCTTTTTTTCTTTTTCTTTTTATTTTTTTTTTAGCATTTTTATTTTAAAATAAAAACTTTCAAACATTTTGAAGATTCAGGAACTTGTAAAAGTTTATCAACAAGAAACAGCCATCTATCTAGGATAAGGTTAAATAAACCCTCTTCAAAAAACTGGCTTCCTACCCTAGAATTCCTGAGAATGCTTGCAAATTTAAAGCAGGAAAATAAAATGTTAAAATAAAAACAAAAACACTGTTAAATGCTCCCAGAGTTAGTCTTCATCTAAAATATATATATGCACTTTTTGGTCTTTTTTTGTATGTTTTAATTTTTTTCCCTTTAAGCTTACAATGGAAGAACAATTTAGCTTTTCTTTTTAAATATTTCAAATCCCTCATTATGTCTTGTAAACAAGAGGGGCTCTAGCACCCGGCTTTCACCATAGTATCGCAAAGAACTCAACTAGCCCAAAGTGCAGGAAAAGGGACCTTAGGGCAGGTTGGGAGAGAGAAGTGAGGGTGGAACACAGCAATGAACCAGCATGTATAGCAAATCATGTGACAGAACGGATACTGGCTTACTCAGGCCAAAGGTGCTTCACTAGGAAGTACTGCTGGCACAGGACTTTTAAGAACCTGCTCTATGCGTCCAAGCGTGGCTGGTCTTCAAGCAGAGACTAGCAGAAACAAAGCTTTACGGATGTGTGCACGCGAGGGGCACTAGCTAGCAGGAGTTGGAAGAGAGCATTTTGTTTCTTTGTGCATGGTGGGATGGACGAAGGAGGAGACACGATAGAAAAGTATATTCAGAAGGGGCCAGAGTATGCTGCACACTCCAGTATACTGAACAAATACAAACCTACTCGTACTTTTTGTCACATAACACTTTGCATACAAATCTACAGGCATGTGTATATGCAGCATTTCCCTCAGTCAGTCTTCTTTGTGACATTGGGTTTACATAGAAAGGGCGAATTAAAGAAAGCCACGCAACTCACTAGCCCGTCCCTCCCACCCCAGCACACAGGCATACACACACACACCCACGCGCACACACCCACCCACCCCCTAAATTACTTGAATCTGCTTTTGCTTCTCCCCACCCAACCTATGCTTAGAATTAAATGTACTACACATTGTCGTATCCTTCAATGAAAACGCTGAAGAAAGAGACTCCCCTATCCTAGCCCCCAGGTAATAAAGCCCGAGCACTGCTCCTGCTGAGGGCTGGAATGGACAGGTATGTGCTGGTACAGAATGTCGGCACTTTGTTAGACAGTGTAACAGCTAGACAACACCACATGGAAGTCCTAGCACTTATGAAAAAAGTACCGGCATCTCTCTTCCCTCTTCTCCCGACCCCACCCCCCCAAAAGACTTCCTGCTTTGTGTCAAGGGATGTTCCTTCAGGTCTGCTACAACTCTTTTCACAACAACAGGTCTTAAAAGTTTTGTTCCCAGCGCACACATGCACGCACACACTGGCTATCACTGTGGATTATAGGTCACCCCTATCCTGCCCAGAGTACTACTACACTGATGCTAAAAAACCCCAAACCCTTCCTTAAATACAGAAATTAAAAAGCAACAGTACAGGAAAAGTAAAAACAAAAAACAAAAAGGTGCAATACTTTTTAAAAAAAAAAAAGTCTTTGCTAGTTATATACCTCCCTAAGCAAAACCACATACACAGGAAAAAACACAACACAGAAACAAAAGGAAACGTTTGAAGTACACACTGGTTTAAGAACATTCGTAAGTAAACGTTTCTGTCAGTGATGGTCTGGCGCTGTAATACACCAAGGCCTGGCACAGGTAACGCTCACCATGAAGGACGCAGAAAGGAGTTAGCTGCATGTGCTTTCAGGAGATGAGGCAGGCCGGCCAGCGATTTGCTGACACGATTTAGATTTTGTCAGTTTTAATATAAGCAGTAAATCAATTAAAAGGCTAATTTGGTTGGGCTGGACTTTCAAGCTTTTGATGGATTCTTCAAGAATGAATATGGGTGCCTATTTATAGGTTTCAGGGAGAAAAGAAACACTTTTTTTTTTTTAAAGGTACTGAAGCTTGTGAGAGACTGAATAAGAACATTTGTCTTAGCCGCACAAAAAATGGCAATGTTTTCTTTCCTCCTCTTTTCCCCTCATTGGAAGAAAAAAATGGCTTGCATTATATAACAAACATTCTAGGGTTCACTCAGTACAAAAACCCCACATGCAGACATAAATAAATAAATACACTGCTACTCAAAAGACAACATTGGCTCCCCTCTCACCAAATCCTTTGGATATGGCAGTGTTCTGCTCTACCACAGGGTTAGAACAAGGGCTAGGAAGCAACTACCCACTCAATATGATCTGCAGACTTGAGATAGCACCCTGCTAAAATGAATTTAAAAAAACCTACTGACAAATTTTAATCCAGCCCAACTGGATTCTGCTTCAGCCACAGGGACTTCACCATGCCTGTCTTGTTTTCAGAATCAAGACACACAGATGGCCAGCCAGCCCGTAGACCATCAGCAATGCAGCGTTTCAAGATTATATATATAGAGAAAAAAAATGCACACACACGAACATGTGCACACGCACTCACACAGAAACAAGCACACGTGGGCAGTTACATGTGCCAGAACACACTGGTACTTATCAACCAGCCAATCACAAAGTGTTGGTTTTTTTGTTTTGTTTTGTTTTTTTTTTTCCTTTTCTGTTTTGTTCTTTTTTGTGGGTTTTTTAATTTTTTAATTTTTTTAAAATTTTTTTGTTTTTAAAGTGAGGCTCCGTCAAGTCTTCCCCTCCCCCCCACCCCTTTTTTCTTTTGAACCCCTCCCCTACCCCAACCCAACATGGTAGACCTAAGGACGGAAACACACCCAGTGCAAACAAAGTTAAAAAGCTATTTTTTCAGTATATATGTTTCTTAGCAACAACTTCCGTATAACATGAAAAAGTGAAAAACTAGAAACTAATTTTTTTAATTTTTTGTGTTTAAATTTAAATGGTATGTGTACTTGCTTCACATTGTCTTTCTAAGTTGGCGTTCATGATTCAAGTATTTCAAGAGTGATATGTTCTCTTTTTGGATTCATATTCCAAACGAAAAAACTGAAGTTATATAAGGGAGGCAACTATGTGCTCAGACAGTCTGTCAATGACCCACCTTTTTTCTCTCTCCGTTTTCTTTTTTCCTTTTATAAATGTATTTATTGCAAGTTGAAAAAAACGAAAAGGTCAAGTTAGTGCTGCTGCTGTTCCAAAAAAGGTCACGAGGTCAGAGTTGAAAGTTCTAAGTTCAAATTGAATCCGACCCTCCTCCCAGAAGGTCTCCAGGTAGTAAGGGAGCAGGGCTGCCCATTCTGTGTGGATCCTCTACGCTTGGGACCCCCCACAAGCTTGAAGAATAGTTTGGGGGCCCCCACAATGAAGCGCCAGTGAGATCACCCCCACTGCTGCCGCCGCCGCCACCACTGCTCCACTGCCCAAGCCCTGTTGACCCACCAAAGAGATTCAAAGCAGGTCCAACTGGATCTGTCTGGTTCTGTCCTGTCTCCAGGGATTGCCAGCCTGCTGTGGGTGCACTTGGGGTTGCTGCAGGTGTAGGGGGCTGAGCTTGTGCCAGAAAGCGACTAACTTCTTCATCTGTGGCAAACTCAGCCAGGATGGTAGTGTTTCCCAACACACACCTAGAAGACAAGAAGGAAGAAAAAAAAAAATTAGAGCCAGAAGGTAAGGACAAGGGATTCAGAAGGCATGGGAACAACACTATTAGCTGCCCAAACCAAAGGACTATCAGCTTGCCACAATGGAGTGAGCACAGAAAACTAGCTGTTCTCAACAGTGAAACTGACTCAAAGCACAAGAACTTCCATTTTATAAGGGGAAAAAAAAACAAACCAACCAACCCCCTCCCCCCAACATTCAGTTGTTACGCCTGCAACAAAACCTTTCTAAATTTAAACTAAGGCCCTGAACATGAACACCAAAAGCAATAAAACTGCCTATACAGTGTAGCTAAAATGGTAAATGCACATATGCTACCTTTCAAACAAAACAGAGGAAGAACAGGTTAGAAGTCTGAAATTCAGGGTAAGATGAGTATAGTTCAAAAGTTTTCACTGAGTTTAAGGGCTTACACCCCCCACCCCTAAGATTTTTGTCTCAAAACCTCTCACATTTTCAAAACATACCAGAGCCACAATCAGTTCCAAAAAGCTTAAGAACAGGAAACCTAAGATCTGCAGCTTTTCAAGTAAGTTATTTCAGGTGTATCTCAAAACTATAGGAGATTCCCACACATTTAAGAATGTGTTACATGGGTTACACATATAAGAATGATTTTCATCTGAAACAATTCACAAGCTTTTATAAAATGGCCATAATGGTATAGTAAGGTGCATTCTGGTCACAATTCCATCCTATTTGCACCTTCTTAGTTCTGTATGTGCCAGTTTGTGCCAGCAATTAAAGTAACACGAACAGAAGGCATCTTTCTTTCTCTTCTTCCTCTGCCAATGAATGAAAGATTCCCTTCCAACCATGATACTTGAAACGAGTTTCCAAAGCATAGCACTGGACAGATGTTTTGTGTGCATGACTAATGTAGAACAGACACAGGGATTGCTTACATGTGCAGTGCAGTCTGGGCCTTGGCCGCCTCCTGTTTGGTGTTGTATCGGATAAGGGCGGTGCCCTGGGTCAGGTTCAGATGGAATGTCAGCAGTGGGCCGTGCTGCATGCAGATCGTCCTCAAGGTTGACCCATCGATCTGAGGAAGAACAGCCAGGATAAAACAGATGTTTATAACTATTTCTCCAAATTAACTTCAATCCTAACTTTGTCTTGGTAATTAAAAGATAATCTGCTCTCAGAAAGGAAAACAGGTGAAAGCAGTGGGAAGCAAGCAAAGGTGACAGGATTTAATTTTCAAACAGAATCAGTATGCCTTGACTTCTCAAAATTGCAGCGACTTTGCTTTATGGAATAACCTGACTTATCCTTCCTGTTCACTTGTAGCTTGAGTCCAGTTTTCCCCACCTCACTGAGTTTCTTAAGTTGTCACTGTCCTTATGTTGGCAGGTTTTCCAGTAATTATATACAACTTGTACTTCTCACCATCTTCAGCCATTAGGATTTGTACCAAAGGAACCAGAATTTGTTGGTCTCCAGCACTCTGATTTCAGTAGAATTTAGATCAACCAGTATTTAAGAGTTCTTTGCAAAACTGGAAATATCACCTCTACAATGAGGGGTTTTTAAAATTTATTTGGGTGCCTTTTGTCTTTACGGTTTGTGAAACAGTAAGTCACAGAAACAGTCAGTGGTCTTTCTGCCAAACCCAGCAATGTTCATTCCTCCCGAACTAATGTTTTCACAGCAGTTGTTGCCTACATTCCTTCTGCAGCAGTAACAGCTTGTTACTTACCTCCAGTAACTGCTGTTCTCCAAGGTATTCTGTACAGACAGATTCCATTCCTGGTATGCCACAGGAACACGCACACATGAATGGGATCCATATGTGCAGATACTTAAGGAAGTGCTTTCTTCCTTCTCCCTTTCCCCCCTATTATATAATACAACCTCAAATGAGGGAAAAGGAAGTTGTGCGTGGGTACAAATATGGACAAAGTTAAAATAGAGAAACTTGAAACGAAGATACTGTCCCTGAAGCCACCTTAACCTTTACGCTTCCTTCTCTCTAGGGTAGTGACCCACAACGAATAGAGGACTTGTTATGGAAGAGACAATTATAATCTGCTTCTTTCTCTTTTCTATTAACTTAAATGCCTCCAAAATATATTCTTCTTCCATTAAACAATTCCTAAAGCAGTATTAAACTATGTTGCACAAGGGAGGTTTAGAACTGTGCCTCTTTATCACACCACTGCTGTTTCCTTCACATCAAGGAAAACAGTCTTTTCTATGAAAGGAGCACAGTTTGCCATTTTGGGTGATCTGAAGGAGACCTTAAGCTTTTCCTTTCACATTGATGTTTTCTTGGACTGTAGAAGCAGCATGGTAAATTATCCTGCTGAACAGGGGACTCTCAGTCTAGACCTCAGGGCGCTGCTGATAATCATATAGGCTTTTCCCAAGCCTTGAATACAGACTAATTGGGATTGCTGAAACCAGGATCTCCACAGAATTCGTTTTGAATGGAAGCAAGCTCTGAGAATACTTGCAGGAATAACTTAACTAGACTGTTTTTGGCAGGAGTGCTGGAAACATTCTGTGGTTTCACTATGGAAACACCAAAGTGAAAACTGGCCGTTACACCAGCTTTCTTACTGACAACATCCCAAAGAACAGTCTCTAACAGCTATAAACCATTCCACATTATGGTCATGCAACTTATCCTCACTTCTAAGAAAAATCTTTCCATTCCAATAATTTTTTTTGAAACTCTGGCTAGTGAAAGGTTATGACTGTCAGGTAGCAAAAACTGAACATCTTAAAGTTAGCTGAAGAGATTACAATAGAAAAAACAATCAGACTACAGCCCCGTTTAGTAGAAACACATCTTGCATATGCTGACAAATCTGATTTTGTTAGATTTTATTCAAAGAGAATCAACTGAAGAATATACAAATCTGTATCTTGGTAAAGCAAACAAGTTCCCAGAAACAACAGAAAATACCTGTGGAGTGAGATTGTGAAGAACCAGCCAGTAGCTAGGACGAACTGAGCCACCATCACTCCAAGTAGATGCTGCAAATTAGAAGACAGAGCAATCAAGACAGATTTGATACAAAGAAAACCATTTTTCTTTACAGTCAGGTCTTTCAATCTCAGACAAATTCAGCATTATCAGCCCTGCTAACACATGAAAGCCTAATCTTCAGTCCTGAAAACAAAAACACATCTTTCCTCACATTTCACATCAAGATTCACTTTTTACTAGACTTTATCTTTGAGGAGTTTCCCACCCACAGAAAACATCTAGTCTTGAAAGGGCCCATGCAGTAGGTATTCCCTCCTGGCAGCTCCCAGCCCTCTTCACTTATCCCCTGCAGCAGGACCTGGGGTCAGGTCTTTCAACAAATTACAAATTCAGCATTATCAGCCCTGCTAACACATGAAAGCCTAATCTTCAGAACAAAAACATCTAGTCTTGAAAGGGCCCATGCAGTAGGTATTCCCTCCTGGCAGCTCCCAGCCCTTCCCTTATCTCACCCACCCAGCCCCCCCCCCCAATTACTGACAGTAAATTTCCATTTCAAGAAGGAACTTTTTTTTCCTTTTACCAGACAACTGCAACTTTCTTTCCTCCAAACCATTAGTGCTGTAAAACGTACACTCCTCAGGTCTGATCAATGGTGCTATCAGTTGATTCTTCTCACCAGAGGCAAGCCTTGAGTCCTGTGCCCCCCAGCCCCTGACCGATCGGGATGCTGTGCTGTTCCATGGAGATGATGGTTTGGGGTTGGTCAGGCCAGGAGGTGGGCGGGGCAGCCCTGTAGTGTTCCTTGAGGAAATATGGTTTTTCCACATCTTGTTGGAGAGATGAGTGGGATTGTGTCCTATGGGATCTGGGGACCATGTTGATTTGTAATCACTGAATTTTGCTAGAAGATTAAATAAATTGTACATGTTAGAAAAACTTAGGAGATTCAACTAGCCTTTAACTGTACTATCACTGTAAACCCTTTGACCGCATTGATACTGGAGACAAGCGCAAAGCACAGAACTGTACAACAGTTAATTTACCATAACAAAAACCGCCATGCTACAGGTAAGTTAATCTTTGCTTATTTTATATATGTTGACAAAAGAAATCCCTAGATCATTTATGATTATGTAACCAGTCACAGTATGTTCAATCGTTAATAAGATGAACAGCAACTTTTATGTCCACACTGCATTTCATTTGAGAATTTCTTACAACTTTGGGCACTACTGACCTTTAATGAAACTGAACCTCCTTCAGGCCATAAACTTGCAGAGAACTGAAATGAGTATTTACCACTCTTGGTCTACTAAGCTAATGCTACCTCCTAAAGATGTCCTCCTATAAGGTCAAAGCTTTCTTGTGAATCACAAATTTCATACAGAGTTGACACAACAGTAACACATAAAGAAGGCCACTCAGCTGTTACAGCTGGACTTTTAAACAATCTTGATAGCGCATATTCATATTTTTTTACTAGAAAGCATTACCAAATGCCTATTAGGAGAACTTAAGACCAATAGTGGATATCCCCAACACATTTCAAGAACCCTTTATATAAAAAGCCTAATAGAAGAGAAAAATTAACACACTCCCAAAAACATCACTATATTTGGGAGCTCTTCCTAAACCAGTTTTCCTTAAAAAGGTAGACCGCAAATTCTCCCACACCTTCTGACACAAAGGGACATTTATCAAACCAAAACCAAACCAAAAGTCAAAATTGCTCAAGTAATTTCTTTTTTCCTTGTTCTGTAATGAGAACCAGTGAACACAGACAGGGCAATCTGGGGGAAAAGGCACTCGTGTCATGAATTATCTTAATCAGAACTACCGTGCATGTGTGTGCAAATATATGTATTAAGCTTTATTCACTAACAAAAGGAAGTAAATTACTTATTTGAAACAAAGGGTTAAAATCCAGGTTTACAACATGCCAGGGTGTCACAAAAATAATACATTTGGGAATCAAGACCATAAAGCTTTCAGCAAGTAAAAGCCTGCTTCATTTTACAGTTGGATCAGTGTATTTCCACGACAGAGTAACTGTCAATAGCAAGCAGGTTTCAAGCACTAACCTATGAAAGTATACGACAGTGCTTAAAAACCTACTTTCACTAGACTCAGTTTGTTTTACAGATATGCGAATTCTAAATCCCTAATTCAGATGACCCGCTTTCTGGCTGTAAAATACTGGTGTGTAGTTTAACAAGATGAGCAAGATGATGGTATGTGTGCCAGGAAGCGGTCTAGTTTCCTCAATTCAACTACGACTTCAATAGTTTCTATTCTCTTAGGTCTTTCTTATGTGCTAGACAAAAATTAAGCAGAGGTAAGAAGCTCATACATGTCATTCCTTTCCCCAGACTGAGATAGAAATCTTTTATCTCATTGGAACACTGTATACACAGATACTGCTTCAAACCAAATTCACCCCACAAACTGGCAGCAGGAACACTATTTTTCCTCAAGGTCTAAATAGGATTTTCAACACATTTTGTGAAGATGCTGAGATAACATACGAATACAGCTTTTATTCAGTAAGATGCAAAACCCATAAAGTTTGGGCCAGATGCAGCTCTCAGCTATGTTCGTCACTTCTGCTATTTACACATAATTCTTCAGTTTGAAGTAGTTGTCAGGACAATGATGTCTCATGAGGAAACTCTGGCATTTGTAAGAAGTTCAAAATCCAAATGGTTTGTCTGGAGCAAGTATTCCAGCATGCTACTCAGAAGTGTGTGCAGAGACCATTTTTCACAAGAAAGCTCTGGAGACCTTCTTACCAAGGATCTGAGGCAGATACCTAAATTTCTATTTACAGGCCAACCATTAAAAGCCAGAGGACTAAAAGCCCTCTCTCACTTCAGGTTTCAGGGAACGATGAGTGCTATAAAAGGTGAGGCAAAAATGTTCCCTTCATAGCACTCCAATATTCTAAAGTTAAAATGAATAAAATCACTCACCTTATTACTCTAATTCCTTAACTCATACATACAGGAGCAGGTAAATTTAAAAAATTACGACAGTCCCCCAAACCCTTACACATGTCAACAGGTTGTGCATGTGTTGGTTTTTTTTCCTTTTGCATCTGCTGCTTACTGCTACCCTATTCTTTAACTTGCATAACTAAGACTTTTGTATCAGGGGTGGGAGGAAGGGCAAAGGATCTTAGTCTAGTTTTTAAAGCACTACGACAGAGCATTTTATCATCAGGAGGAAAACTATCTGATCAGCCACTCAAATCTTGATTTCCAAGCTTCCTCAGAAATTACTGAAAGACTAAATATTCAAAGTGGAACAAGAATGAGGAACTAGTGAATAAGTGGAAAATGCTTTGTCCAGGTAAGTTTTAGAGCCCGCATACCTGAAGTGCTATGAACGTTGGTGAAGGAATTGTCAGAGGCACTGTAGGGCCAGGCACCAGGTGAAGGCAGCGAGGTGTTGAGGGAAGAATTAGACCCTATCAAAGGGAAAAGGAGAAAGAAAGAGAAGAGTAGGCCAATTTCATAGTTTCTGTAATACTGTTAAACCTCAAGAGAGCCACGATTTGTACCCAATGCCAAGCTTTCACGTGATACACAGCCATGGTGCAAAGGCACATAGGCTTCCTTCTTAGTCAAATGCAATAGACTGTTACCCTGTTATGACAGGAACACCAGAATATTCTCAAATATCAGAATGACTTAAATAATCACATACCAGTTGTTCACTGTTTTACCTGTGGTGTTGTCCCGCAGAAGTTGGTGGTCAGTATCTACAATGGGAGATGTGGCTGTCCCCCCCAGCACACTTCCAGGGGTCACATAGGGGTCAGATTCAGGGTCAATGTTTTGTATACCTTTCCATGGCACTCCTGGTTGGAACTCTGGGACAGGAGGGGAAAAAGGAATTAGATGCAAACAGGGCAATACCATTTACTGCAAGTAACAAAGATATTTAGGAGGGTAAATAATTGTCTTCTACACTGTTCCACAGAAAAAATCAGACTTTTCTTAATTAAAATCTGTTTCACATTCCTTTTTCACATATTCCATGGCACTATCTCTAGTGTCTGAATACAAGTCTACACTACAAAAAAGTGGTGCAAGTGCATATGGTATTCCTTTGACTATTCCTGTTTTCCTACATTCAGATAAGGCTTCAGTAGTTTCACCCTTCCTTAACACATTATATATTTTTTAAGATATATAAGATTAGATTATATAAGATCAGTTTCTGCACACATACTTTGTGTGTGTGCAGAAGCCTCTCAAAGAAAGGCTACCTACCTTAAGAGTTTGTAAACACAACATTTGACACTTTACACTGTAGGTACACACACACTTTATACATTACCTATCAATATTGAGGTAATGCTAAGGTGAGATGCCTTGTGGTAAAAGCAATGTATATACTCATTGACGTTCTTCATGCTTCACAATGAGACGGAATATACTTATCATGCTTTAGTTTCCTTTCAACCATGGCTCCAGGCATGCCAGATTTTTAAGACAAGAGGATGAGTCATATAAAGTATGAACATACAAAAATTCCGGTTACTCTAAGGAAGATCAGTAACTTGGTTCCTTCTCCAAGTATATGTTCAATGCATAAAGTGCTGTGGTCAGTTTTGGAAGCAGTGATAAGAAAGTAACACTGCCAAACACAAAAACATGTAAAGAAGCTTCAGATACTATATGACAATTTGGATAAGTGTGAAAAGAGTGCCAAGATGGCAGATTCATCCCTTGTAGATACAAGTCCAAGATATGGAATGATACCTTTATTCCCATCATGAAGTTTTGAAATAATTAATGACAGAATATTTGAGTGTAATTAGAAATCCATGATTAAAAGTGGGATCCAGGATCTGCTCTCTGGAATGAAACCATGTAGGGTGAATCTGGCATGGAAGGGTTCATTTCAGTCACCTTTGTAATGAAGAAGCATCGTCAAGACTATGACTTTCACCGACAAACACAGAAGAAAATGTCATACTACTGGTTCAAACAATTGGCACAGCAAGGGCAGTATTAGATTGTGATAATGCACTGGCAGGAGAATCTCAGAGAAGACCTAAGAAATGCACCACTGGGTCAGAACTGTGGTCCATCTAGCCCAGCATTCCGCTAACAGTTGTAGAAGAGATACCATTTAGGGAGAGAACACAAACCTGACCACTGTCTGTAGGCTACTGCCCTCACACTCTCCCAGCATCCCCAGCCCTTCTATGTAGGATGTCAGAAATACCCTCTATCTGCTAGCACCTGCTTGTGAAACTGTTTTTCCATCAGTTTATCCAATCACTGTTTCAACTGGCTAGTACCATCTGTCTCCAGAAGCTCTAAAAGCAACACATTCCAGAAGTTCACCACTCCTGATAGAAAAAAAAAAAGCTCTCATCTACTTAAAATTTATATCCTCTTAAGTCCAGTATTTGCACCATGGTTCTAGTGTTGCAGGATTCACAGAATTATAATACGGCATTTATCTGGTCCACTGCCTTCATGATTTTGTAAACCTCAGTCACATCTCCCAATCTTTAGTAACTCAACAAAATAATCTAGGATACCAGGTATCAACATGTCTAACAGTATGAGCAATCAGCACTGCATCAAGGAAGGAATCTGCTCAGCTACTGCCAAAAATACTGCAATCCACTGACAAACAGGACCGCCTTATGCTTAAGGAACAAGCAATGCAGCTCTTGGGTCTAGTCACAAGACCTTCTCTGTCCTGAGATAAATAATCCATGAACCTAGGTTAGGACCTGGTAATTAGAACTTGGGGGGGGGGGGGGGGGGTATATGCCAAATTT